TAAAACCAATGTAAGCGATTCCTGAGGCTGATATTTATAGCGATTTTAAATCTTCAACACCCTCYTAAAATAGTTCTGAAGATCTGAATTAAAGAACAATCCTGGGCTTATTTTAAAACTGAAATCCTGAGGCTGCCAGGAGACAGAGGGAAAGCAGAGAATTGCAGGGTGACAGCAGCACCTCTGAGATTCTGGCACTGAGGAAAAAATCCAAGATATTTACACCTTCACACTCTTTAAGGAGTTAAACACACCAAAATATGGTTCAGGAGGGAAATTATTAAACATTTTTTATTAAAAAATACATTATTTATACTTCAAGCACAGAGCTACTGATGTGATTAAAGAATTGAGAAAATTACTCAAATGGAGCRAATTATGTYMAAATATATCCYRTCCAAAAATATCAAATATATGAGARGAACTGGTGTTGAACAGTGACACAGGAATGAGCTATTAAATTGRATTTTCYCATTTTTTATGAYCCCAAARCTRAGCTGGAATAKCAGGGTACAGGAATTCCAAGCTTTTAGGCAAAGGGGATGAGGGATACATAAAAGGTACAGAAAAYGTCTRAAAGGGGATATAAAATATCTAAAAGGGTACMGAAAATGTCTAAAAGGGTTTATAAAATTCCAAAAGGGCACAGAAAATATCCCGACACAACTCATCCCAAATTCCTGAGACAAAGCAATCCCAAACCCATCCATCTGCCCTGCTCAAGGACATCAAAATCAGCCCAGAGCTGTTTGATCCCAACCTTGTCTCCGATGCCATCACTTTTTTGGGGTTTTATGAAGGATTTGGTCAAAGGAAGGTGTCAGGGCTGGGATGAACCTCTGGAAAAGCCTTGGCACTGACAGAACCCGGATTTGTTTCACACTGATCACTCAGTTAATTTTAGATTTAGAGAAATCACCCAAAAAGGCTCCCGTGACCTCAGTTCCCCCTCTCAGCTCAGCTTTGGGACAAACTCAACCCAAAAATTTCATCCCAAAATGAATTTTCTGCCTCCCAAAGCGCCTCCGAGTGAAAACGTGAGCCATTCCAACACATAAATCAATTTTGCAGCTTCTTGCTCAAAGCAAATTAAAAACTCTGCGCCACAGACACGAAGCAGCAGCTCAGCTGAGTAAAAATTAATGAAGAGGAAAATTAAGGTGGCTTTGTTGCTGCTTTTTATCAATTTGTGCCCAGATCTGCCAGAGCTTTGGGAAGAACRCTGCAGCTTTGCAAAGCCATTCTGAACAGAATGGAAATTTTATTTCTGTTTTCCTCGCATGCCCTGGGGTTGTCTGGAAAAGTGGGGATTTTCTTAGGGATTAATCCRGCAGGAAATGCTTCAGGAGCATTCCCAAATATCCCCCACCCTGCTGGTTAAACCAAAGGGATTTCAGGGAGCAGCTCTGGGCCTCAGGAGCATCCTCAGCTTTATCTGC